TTATATTATATTTTATAAAACTAATTCGAACCCAGCCTTTGTAGCTCACTAGATAAAATACTACCAGTGCAATAACAAACACAGGGAAACGAATACGTTCTATTCCCATGGTATATAGAACTCTCTTTGTAACTATTTTCGAAGTTACACGAGGAATTCGATGAGTCGTGCTAGCTTAGGTGGTTAACGCTCGCTGTAAATTTCATAGTACAAGTGCAACCTGGGTTCGATCCCCGCCGGCACTAATGAAGTTGTTAATTGTCATCTTCAGTACTGATTTACTACGTGCTCGGCAGAGAAGGAAAACATCGTGAAACCTGCATGTCTGAGAAGAAGACAAACGAAGTTGGCCAACACGCATTGTGGCAGAACAGTGGACACTTCCTTGGCCTAAACCCTCTAAGAAATGTTAGGAGGCCTGTGCCCAGCAGTGGAATACCTACATTTTTTTTTACAATTACGGCTGTAAATCTCAGCTAAGGTAACAACACTTTTATACTTTTCACTGCTGGACACAGGCCTTCTCTCATTCATTAAACGTTTAACGGCATAGAAAAGTCTATTGCTGTGCCTTAATATGTTTTGGCAGATTTTATGAGTACATGCCTACGATATTTTTGAATTACTTAGACATGTAGGTTTCCTAAAAATGTTACCTCCACCGCTGTGCACTTGGAGAATCAGCACTTTTGGAAATTGCATTTTATAATTAAAACAGTTTTGACAGTGCTGAATGTGATTAAACTCAGATTTTCCACGTATTCTCACCTATTGAGACCAGCGTCTATCTTCTGAGCTACCACAGCTCATCACCATAATTTTCACTACTGCAGACCCGGGACACTGAGACCAAATGCAAATTAAGAAGGGTACGGGTTCTGATGAATGAGTTGGAATGTTTCGCAGCCTAGAATTATACTGACTTACTATACCTTACAACCTAGAAAAATAGTCCAGTAACGCTCGATGGAGTCGCGATTTGATGAAACTTGCAGGGAGGCCCATTAAGGAGGCCAATGTTCAGCGCTCAACCCTCTCAGAAATGAGAGGAAGCCTGTGCCCAGTAGTAGGACGTATGTAGGCTGTAACTTCAATTTTTTAACTTTTATGTTCAGCGGTGGACTTGTGATGCTATGTAATGATTACTATGGTGATGATATAATAAAACTTAATGTTACAAAAAGTGTATGTCTTATATGTATGTATAAATTTTCTTCAACTTAGTATATTTTATATCATGGCAATTGGTCCATACCTGCGAGGCAATACTCCGTAATCGACTAACTTGTGGGGTTATTTTTTCGATTTGTACTTTATGCACCATTTTGAATTATTAATTACACTGTTTTAATATTTTTTACATAAACTGCGAATTAATTAATATCAGTTATTATATCATAAACATATTATTTTATTTTTAGATGTTTTAATTGATTTTTTTTGAAATTTAGAATAATTTTACTGAATTTATATTACACATAACACGCGGCTTAAATTTAAACAATTTATTTTATTTATAACGGAGTAGGAATAGACAGACACCTGCATCGCACAAGCAAATTGTATAGAGTGCTGGTGAAATCGCTTTCGTCGCAGTATTTTATATGCAGCGAATATTTTAGTGCTTATATATTTGAAGTCACAAAACTTTATCTTCCTAAAATTAGAGATATATTTTTAGTCAGTTGCATGTTAATCCTATGAATTTATTTATCTAAAATTTAAGAACGCCTTAAGGTGTTATTAATTGTTTCGTGTTCGTGTTGACCCGATGAAAGGTTGCATGTATATATGTTTATACTTAACGTTTAGTATAATTTTAATGTTTCTTTTATTTATTCCATCCACTTAAATAAATACTAAAAACATTAGAAATTTAAACAAACTTTAAACGTCAAATAGTTTGTTAACATCAGATACTTTGTTAAATAATGAGTTTTTGTAATTAATGTATTTTGTAATTATGATAAGACATCGGAATTAAAATAAATTTATAGGGAATAAGTTATAGCGACGAACGGTAAACGAACTAATTAGAACATGTACTTTGTTTTCATTTAGGAAAATTTATTTAACAAATAAAATAAAAATTATTCCGTAATGCCTTTAAGGTTGAAGTGATACTTGAAGAATTTCTTGATGGCATTGGAATGCATTATATCCGTAAGTATCTGAGAAGACCTTTGTTGCAAGACTTGACAGGAAATATAAAGAGACTTTTAACGGAGTAGCTACACAAAAGGCTACTTAAAGTTCTTTAGTTTTTTTTTATTGTAATAAGACTTACAGACACAGTTTTCACTTGATGGTGAATAGATCCAGTGCTCATATATCTATAATCGGTTAAAAGCAATATGCACCTCAACATACTAAGATGGAACATATCGTTACAGGTAAAATGGTTCAACTCCATTACGCTCACACTTGCTCATCCGTCCTTCAATCAGGATCTCTCTCTGGTCACAGTACATCATTGCACTAAACAGCGTCACAGATTTTTTTTACAGGATAGGGTGACAAATGAGAGAAAAACTACCTATGTGAGAGACAACAATGTGTGGTAAAAAACTTTAATCAATAATTACAAAAAAGTGTTATTCAGAAGTGACAATCATCCAAATGACTTTGGAGTGCCACAAGGCAGTGTATTGGGAACATTCTTATTCCTCATGTATATTAACGTTCTCCCTAATATCACTCGCCATAACACAATGTTGTTTGCTGATGGCACAACCCATTATCGTGAAATGTTAAAATAAAGATACATATGAAATAAATAAAGCAACTAACACATAAAAGACTGGCTTTATTTTAATAATCTACAGATTAATATGAAAAAAATAAAATGATCCAATTTCAGACATATCAAAGAAAACTATTGAATATTAATGTTAAATATAATGATAAGACCATCGAACAAGTAGCGAGTGCTAAATTTCTGGGTATAATGTTGGATCGAATGCTGGAAGTATAGGCACTTATGCAATAAAAACATTACGAGTCACGGTATCAACTAATGCTGCTCTATGTGCATATCACGGATATGTTTCGTCCGTATTCTCATATGTGAGGCAATTTACGTATAATAAAAGTATTAAAAAAATGTACAAATAAAAATGTGTGCGAGGAATCTATGGAGCGTGGTATACGGATAGCTGTGAACCCTTGTTTAAAAAGTACAATATCTTATCATTAACATGCTTGTACATTAAAAAAGTATGCATATATGTAAAACAACATTCTGAATACTTTGAAAGGCATATAGATATAACTGAACGAAATTTAGCTCCTAGAAATAAACATAAGCTATATTTACCTCAATACAGACTCAAATTGTATAAAACGAACTCTTATGTAAATGCTATAAAGGTATATAACAAAATACCCAATGTTTTTAAAAAGTTACCTTTCATCATGTTTAAAAAAAGTTGGTACATTATTTAAAAAAAATGTTTTACGACCAAAATGAATTTATGTCTTTTTGTGAAAGATAAATGTGACGTCAGTAATATTGGTAGGTATATAACTAATAATTAATTAATTGGGTAAGGCCGTCGTTTTTGCCACTTTTTTGATGAAAAAATATTCTCATATTTTCATTGCTTATAGAAAACAACATAGTGGGTAAATTGTAATGGAGGTATTTTAATTAGGTTATACATCTCTTAAATTCTTATAACATATTCTTAATATTAATATAAGTTGTACATTAAAAAAAATACAACGAGTTAAATTCGTCCAGACTCCCAAATTTAACGAAAAACATGCTGTCTTTTTAGCATTTAAACTATAAAACTTATATTTTTGTAATGAACGTTTAATTAATTTGTGACTATCTGAAATTTCTTAATAGTAAGCTTTCATGTCTTTAGTAACGCGTTTTTATATAGATTTATTACTATTTAAACTTATGTTCCATATTTTTGCTTCTACGTTACTACTTTGTATGTTACCAAAATTTTCCCTTACAAAGCATTGAAAACAGTTTGATAGTGTTTTGTAATTGCACTGGCAACACTAAGTATTCAGGCAGCACAATTTAAAAAAAAAGACGCCATCTTGTCGTGTCGGAAGTCTGTCAAAGGTGCACGCGTGTGTTTCGGCAGTGAATTTTAATTGTGAATTTTGGCGATTTCAAAGGTAAATATCAGTTTTTATTGTTCACATATTATATATTATTATGCACAAGTAACTAGTAAGTGCGTGGTAATGTGTCTATGTTTAAAATTCACCTTGATGTCGAGTTATGTCTATTTATAACCTTGAAAAATCGCACTTTAACGTTACTTCTATGTAGCTTTGATGTCACTGGTAACGTTGATTGTATGTTTCGTAACGTTTTACTGTTGTAAAGGTTTGTGCATATGTAATTTATCAAATATACTTTTTTGTAAAAAATATCTACCTTTTTTTTAAGTTCTGATCATGTAGAGTAATGAAAAATCCACTCAGTAATTTTTTTATTTGATATACAGAGGGCATTTTTTTATTTGGTTTCCAAGCAGTTACTAATTAATATATTTAAGTAAAATAAATTTAAAAGTAGTTTGGACATTCATGGAAACTGAAAAAGAAAGGTTTTTAAACCATATTTTTGTGCCACTAAGTGGAAAAATAAAATAAACTCCAAAAAGAAAAAAGCGACTTCAAAAAAGAATATAGTTTAATCTTTTGTGAAAAACAATTAAGGATATAGAAGCCAATTGTTTCTAAAAATTAAACCAAATCTAACTGTTTACCACGTATTTTTTTAAAGTTTGTTTTTACTTTTTTAATGTTTACTTCGATATTCGCGCGAACGGTCTTCTCTTTCTAGCAAAGGATGTCGATTAGCGTTAAAGAGAGATACACATACATACAAAAAAAATGTGTTGCGAGGCGGGTAGTGTGACCCTTAGTCAATGTATTAAACATGACTAAATGAATGAATTAGAGCCCTTAAACCATACTATCCCTTTACTTTTATAATTAACAATAAAACAATATAAACATTGTCACAGATGCCGCCGACGACTGCAGCTGAAAAGCAGAAAAAATATCGCGATAAGTTGAAAAAAGAAAACCCTCAAAAGTATGAAGAAATACAAAAGAAGGTCAAAGAAAGATGTGCACGTTACTATGAGAAAAAAAGAGTAAATATACTGAAGAGCACAAACAAGAATTACGGAATAAATGGAAGGAAGATCGAAAAAAAGCAAAAGATGGCATCACAAAATGAACCGGGTACGGCACATACTTCAAATTCCAAGCAAGATAATAACCAATTAACTTGCCGTAATATGCAACGCCGAATTGAATACAGACTGAAACAAGAAACTGCACAACTGAGATTACAGTTAAACACATTGACTAAAGGTTTCAAAAGTCTTCAGAAAAAAACGAATAGACAAGATGCAGGCAGATTACGAAAATTTATTAACTAGATTAATCACGACAGATGAAACAAAGGACACATATACGCAAGAATTAGAAGAGAAAACACCGAGGAAAGAAGTAACAGAGTTCATAAATAATAACATACCTAACATTGAAACTCCCAAAAAAGAAGAAGTTAAGAAGAAACTACTGGAACACGATGTACTAACGAAGTCACTAAAATTACAATTCCAAACTGCTAACAATACTGAAAAGAATGTTTTGAGAAACGTTTTGGATAACAACATTTTGAAAAAATATAAACTGAAAACAAGATTAAGAACCTCCCTGGGATTTAAGAGTGATTTCAAAAACTACCGTCATCAGAAGATCAGAACCACTGCATTGCAAAAGAAAATTGAATGTTTTTTAACAGAGATGATGTTAGCCGCACCACTGCAGGCAAAAAAAGAATACAGAACCTTCAAAAAAGTTACACGCCAAAAGAGATATTTGCTAAACAAACTAATCGTACTTCATAGAAAGTCTATCGCAGAAGAGGTCCAAATAAGTTTCAGTACTTTCAAAAAGTACCGCCCGTTTTACGTATTTTCTCCAAAAATCAATGATTGTGAGAGTTGCTCATGCAAAAAACATTCTAATATGCAATTTCTGGTTGATGAACTGAAATCCCTTAACATACTTAAAACTGACAATCTGAATGAGGTAACAACAGATTTAGTATGTGATTTTTACTCAAAAGATTGCATGTATAATAATTGTAATACGTGTTCAGAAATTAGATTAAAAGTTGATAACGAAGAACTGTCGGCTAAAGTAAGCTGGTTTACTTGGATTTTAAAAGACCACGAATATGAAAAGGAAGGAGAAAAGAAGAAAATTAAAAAGATAATAAAAATTAAGAAAGAGGGTACTTTACAAGACTTACTTGAGATATTTAGTGCGGAAATTAAACAATTTAAAACACATATTTTTATTTTTTATCACCAATATAAAAAATACAAAGATTGCATTAACAATTTAAAAAGTGATGAAGCATGTATCCATATAGATTTCTCTGAAAAATTCACCTGCAAATACCATAAAGAAATACAGGCAATGCATTTCATAAAAGAACAGATTACCCTTTATACGGGAGTTATTTACATTAAAGAGAGAATAAACCTATTTCTTTCTGTTCTATATCCGCCGATAACCAACACAATCCAGAGGCAATATGGGCCCACCTCGATCCTGTTTTACAATACATAAAGAGTAACTATCCAAACATCTTTAACATTCACTTTTTCTCTGATGACCCAGTATAGACAGAAAAAAAACTTTTACTTATTCAGTGAAAAAGTCTATGAATATGGGTTTAGTTACTGTACTTGGTCGTTTTTTGAGGCAGCAGTTTTTTGAGGAAAAGGTGCCCCTGATGGTATCGGAGGGGCCATCAAACGAACTCTAGATGCCAAAATCGCTCAGGGGAAAGACATCCCAAATGCGGAAACAGCATTTGATATTTTGAATTCGGAGGACACAAGTATCAAATTATTTTATATTTCTTCTGTTAACATCAAGCCTTTACACACAAAGCTTAGTCCTTTGCCGCAAACAATGAAAATTCATCAGCTGATAACAATAGAAAAGCTGAAACTCAAATACAGAGATCTCAGCTGTTTCTATGGGGATCCTAGAGGCAACTGTGAATATCACTCACCTGTAGCTCATAGCTTTTTGCCCACTATTTACGCAAACGAAAAACACACATCGAATAAACAAGAAAAATGTGAAAAGAAAAAGGAAGTTAAAAATTCAAAGAATAGCAATAAAACTAGGCGAAGACGTGTCAGTTCATCAACCAAAGAAGACGAATATGATGATAGAATTGAATATACGGAAAGCGACGCCTCGGCGTTTTTTTCTGATGAGTCAATAAGTCTAGATTTTAACGACGATGAAAACAATCTAATCACAGAACTTGACGAAAAAACAGGTGTTTTGAGGCCAAAAATTAATCCAAACAAGAAAGTCACTCTGCTATCCACAATAATTTTAAAGAAACCTAATGCTGAAAATAATCCTAAACATGAAAGGAAAAGAAAAATAATTTGTGAAAATGAAGATTCAATCCATAAAAGATTTTGCGAAACTACGAAACATGTTACTGGGAAAGATGATGTGACAATTTTGTCACAAATAAGAAAAAACCCGGAAAATACTGCAAGTTATGATTTAAGAGAGAGTTATTTATTTGGAAAAGAAGAACCGATAAAGGAAATAAGAAGTAACAAAATTGAGACTGATAAAAGAAAAATCGACCAGAACAGGGAAAACAAAAATGATACCAAAAAAGAGATCAAAAAGAATTTAAAAGAAAAGTTTCTAATAGAAGATAAGCACAAAATTGAGATTGAATGTACTAAGAAAGATGAAAGCAAGGAAATTCTAATTGTTATCGCAGAAGAAGAGAGAAAAGAAGCTGATGAGAACCCGTAAGAAGATAACCCGTGTGATAATTGTAAAAACTTTTAGAGAAAGATTATATTGTTCTAATTTTGTGATTTCACGAAACACTATTGATCTCATTGTGTAGCTTATTTTATAGGTTTAAATCATATTATAATGAATGTTATTTCGTTTTTTTTTTGTTTTCCTTAGAAGAGTATTTGAGAAACTCTATCCATGACATTAAATATTTTTGTTACTTCACTTATATCGTAGTATTATTTTCCTGATGTTTGGTAAACGTGGTCAGATTTCATGATTGTGTAATAACTCTAAGCTGTTGATAGTTTTAAACATTTTTCAACTTATTTTTTTTTCTATCACTGAACTTCTCACAGTTGGCGAATTGTACAGTTAGCTTATGCGTCGAAACCTCCTCCTTTTTGAAGTCGGCTAAAAATAGCGCGTTATGCAATCGGCCTTACAAACATTACACGTTACTTACGCGTTACTTCTATGTTACCGTAACATAAAAGTGTCTATGTTACTCTATGTTACTAAGTGGCAAAATCTACGGCCTTACCCAATTATGATTAACCTGAGAGTATGTATATTAAGAACAATTATTACAAAATCTGATATTTTAAAATCTATTACTTAAACGACATTATAATTTTGACATCAATTAATTTATCTTATAATAATCGTAAATGTACGAAATTGAATTCACACTTGTTGTTTAAGAAAAATTTTACATTCTACCACTTTATATGCACACCATACAAAGTGGTAGAATGTATTTAATGGGCCATTACACTTAATTTGAGATCATACTTTATTGTACACACACATTCTGGCAAATAACTGAATTTTAATTTGAAAAAAAAAACGAGCACACATTCCACCTGATGGTAAGTGGTTGCTGTGGCCCATAGACGTCTACACCTATCTTCGATTATGGATCAAAATGTAGTTGCGTTGTCACCTGTGAGAACAAAGATGGAAAGCCTCGTTTTCAGTAAAAAGAAAGGGTCTCTACAACTATACTACTAATATAACTGCAGCGTGGCTCTACCACTTATAAAAGATTTGAAAAAATTGATCGATGAACAATAGGTTGTACAGTGACGGCGTTTGTTGACTTTTCAAATGCATTAAACATGTTCAAACACGATATCTTTCAATCGATTTTGACTTAAGGTAAAGTGGGCGCCAAAAGCAGATTTTTCACGCTTTATAGGTGTCCAGAAAATCAATTTTTTGTCATTAAAAACTACGAATTCACATTTTTTTTAAATTCATTATGAAATTTAAAGATTTTTCTTAGTGAATTATGGTAGCCAAAATACGATTGACACATTTTGGCTCGATAGAAAAAGATCGCAGTTTCTTCAAAATCTACAATTTTACGTACGTCCATTTGAAAAAGCAGTTTTATTCGAATGTAACGAAATCAATTTCAATTAAATTCAGGATATGTGTTCACCAGTAAATACATGAGTGAATTATGGGTTTATTATTCAATAAAAGAGTATCTATCATTTTAAAAAGAAGTATCAAATAAATATTGTACGATTAAATAGCGCGCGGGCCGACCAAACAGTCCCGCAAATCGTAGGGAGCATCAACTTTATCACGCCCGCTGTCGTCGTATAAAGGTAAGAATATATTTAAAAAAGTGATAACCGTGGTATGCCATTGAGAGGTAGTGAAAAATTGGGCATCCAAACCGATTTCGATGTCTTCATGAGTCCTATTATCTACTCAAACAGTGAGCTAGTAGCAAGTAATAAAGATGTAAATATAGGTACTTAGTATGTTTATAACACAAACTGATAAGTAAAAATTTGTTATAGGTACGTGTAAAGTGACCATTTATTTTTTTCCTCAGAGCGCGACTCCTCTAAAATTATTATAGTTTTAACACTTTTGACTGCCTTCATGGTCTAATGGGCGTAAACGCAATTGCTGATCATGTGGTCCTGGGTTCGAAACCCGAGTCAGGCCAGGAATCATTTATTGGTTTTGTCTGTCACAAAATTATCAGTAGCAGCCCGGAATATAGATTTTGAACATATTGAAGTTGGCGGGATTTCACCACCGTGCCTCCGTAAGCACGTAAAGCCGTTGGTTCTGCGCCTGATCTCTCTCCCGTCTTCTCGGATTACCGTTCCATCGGACTATAAGAGTGAGGGAGTAGGACAGACCTGTGCTTGCGCATACACTTGAGTAATATAATCCTGTCCTGCGCAGATGGCTATTCTCAGTTGAAAATGGCCGCCGTTACCAAAATTCAATCTGGAGCCCTTTATCATAGTTTTAAAAATAAAACACATAGTTGTTTGAACCTTTTAACAAGAAACAAAATACATACCACATTAAATAAATACTAATTTGAAATAACTTATATTATTTGATGATTTATTGTAGATCAATTAAAAATTTTCACTTCGTAACTTTAAGTTCAAAAGTGTAGGTTTTCGGAATAATCACGTAACTAGTCAGGCCATGCTGGGAAACCTGGTACGCGCGGTGTTTTACTGATGGCACGGGTGACGGAGTTTGCATGGTGCTACGCTTTTATTTGTCGAAGCGGGACATTTTTCCGTATTTTGGGGCCTTTAAATCGGGACCGTCCCGCCTAAAGTGGGACGTATGGTCACGTTAGATATGAGGGAACTCGTATGTTACAGATATACTTTGATAAAGTGACGATTCCGTGGCGCACTTGCTTGGCAATGAGTGGCTGCGCTGGAGGCCGCGGGTTCGATTCCCGCACGGAACAAGTATTTGTATGGCTTACTAATAATTGTTTCGGGTCTGGATGTTAGTCCTCGTACAATTTATGTTTGTAAACTGCCTACATGATACAGGAAATAATCCTAGTGCAGGTGTAGTGTGTAGTGTAATGTGTAGGGGGTAACATTATAAAAAATACTGGTAAAAAAACACTTGAGTATGCCTAGGCTGCTTAGTGTATTTTTATAATGAAAAGTACTTCATCATTACTTTATTTGGAGTTCATCGTCCAAGACGCTTGGAATAAAAATTTATAAAAAATAAGTATTTCTTGGTACTTATTAGTTTACAAGAAGCGCATTGGACGATAGTGCCCTTATAAGATACACGTGAAATACTTTTCAACATGAAAATAAACTAGGTAGGTATGTAGTTTATTTTCATGTTGAAAAGTAAGTATACGTCCACTCGTAAGCATCTATAGGCATAGGTACAAGTCGTATCATGTTGTACCTGCCTATAATATTATATTCCCAGACAAGAAGGCTCTTTTGGTGCACCCAATTATTGTCTGAAACTATTTTATAAATGAACGCTGGTTATATCAATCAATTACAATATATTTGTATACTAAGTAGATGTATTTAACTATTAGTGGGATATGAAATAGATAGAGAATATGAAAAAGAACACGCTTTTCAAAGCATATTGTGTGTCATTTTATTCTTGCAGTCTATGGACCAACTACATCAAAAAGGCTTATAGTGCCCTACGTACTCAATACAACAAGGCATTCAGGGCGCTGTTGCGGCTGCCGCGCTACTGTATCGCGTCTGCGATGTTTGCACTGACGGGTGTGGATAGCTTTGATGCAATAATCCGAAAAAAGACCGCATTTTTTGCTAAACAGGGTGCGCGGCAGCGGCCACAGTGTGCTGAGTGAGATTGCCGACAATAGAGATTAAAGACAGTAGAGACAAAATATTAAAATATAAAAAAATAAAAAAAATAATAATATTTTATCTGTATGATATTTCGAACAATATTTCAAAAATAGTTTTGTGTGAATTTGAAATAAATACAACGTCAAGTTATTTGAAATATGTAAGAAAACTATTTTTACTTACATGTTACACTAAAAATAAATGAGAATTTGAAAAATAACACATTTATAACCCAACCGCCAAAATGGGCCTTCCGGATTTTGAAGTACTTTTGGCAATTTACTTTTCACTTTTTTCACTTTTTATTCAGGTATAAAATTTTTTTTTGGACGCCGAAAGAGGTGATTTTTTTTTTTTTTCTAGAAACATTGCGGTTTGTTAAATAAAAGAGCATATCTTTGTCTTCGATACTATTATCTATTGCATATTGTCTTTGGTTTTGTTTTAAAGGAAAAAATAGTTTTTTCATAAGGCAGTACTTCTGATCCGACCTGATCTAATTCGACCCGTACCAGAGCCGACGTAAGGTAGTATTGTATGATCTAATTAGATCCGTAGCCGAGTGAACATATCGACAAAACATTAAGCAACAAAAGAAGCTACAAAAACATTCACGCGTCGTTGTCGTTTTTTTTGTCATCCAACCGTTCAGTTATATCATTTTGAGCTACATTATGCAAAACATGACGATATATCGATATTCATCACGTGTATATATCGATACTCTTTAAAAATATCAATACGACTTATATCGATATAGTTTTTCACTATTTACTCATCCATACTCGTTGCTATTGCCACATGAGTAAATAAACGGAATATTGCTAGCAGCTAGCCGGACGCGCGAGGGACCCCGGCGGTCGTGCCGCTCTGCTTTCTACGTGACCACAATACCATTTCTTCTTAAACTAAGATCGTCCTACATTCGCGGTCGTCAGCATTCGGTTATGTTAGGGAAGTTTTCACAAAAATCAAGAAAACAAACAGGGACTTAGATTTCACTCGTGCCAGAATGCTATAAGGTTATCTTTGGAAAGCTTGAACCTGTTTTGTATAATGGAATATAATTTCCATTTTCTTATATACTGACTGGCACATAAAACGACTCGAAATGCATTTTAAGTAATTGTCTAAATTTTTTTTTTTTTTTTGGTATCATGCATTATTGATAAGTTTTATTAAAGTTATTTTTTGTTCAATATACAAAACTCGTAAGCAAAATCGGGAGTCATCTGTGAACAGTACTTGGCTCTGCTCTTCCATATTCCAATTCACATAATCATGCGCGAATGCATGTCTGCTGACTCGATGCTGCCTGGTAAGCTCTGGGCCATGTGCAGGTCTTTGGGCCGTGACATCAGTTTCATT